AAATCGTGATATTTTGAAATTGTTCATATAAATTAAGATCAAAAGGGAGAATCAGGGCCCACAAATTTAAACTTTAAGTTTGGAAAATCAGATTTCAAATTAGTTGCTAAAGCAAAGCACAACTTCATTAGTTTGTCCACAATAGACAGAAGTTAATTTACATACAGATTTAGACTATATTTGGTAAAACTAGTTGATAAGCTAGCTGATAGCTGATAAGCTAACTTATAGCTTATGAGTAATTTTCGAGCTTATAGCTTATAGCTTATGACTTATAGCTGAAAAGCTAGCTTATATGATAAAAGTGTTTGGTAAAATTAGCTGATAAGCTAGCTGAAATAAAAAATTTCAACTAGCTTATTTGGAAAGCTACCTAAAGAAGCTTATCAAATAAGCTCGAGCAATCAACACAAATTCTCTCTCTCCAAACCTCCCCCAAAATCCCCATATCGTAACCCTCGGCTGTCGCTGAAATTGATGTGCCTCCCTTCCGGCGACCCCATCTTAGTGTGATTCCGACGAGCATCGCGCTTACCCTAGGTCTGTTGGCGCAGTCATGGTGGCCTGTTCGCCTCTCTCTCTTTACCCGAAATGGTTCTGTTCCTGTTACTGAGCGCCATGGACGGAGAGCTGGAGGTGGGGGTCGCTTGGCGTGGCGTCCGACGGTCGCTGCGGGCGTTCAAGGATGTCTGTGGCGGTCCGACCTTGGTCTTCTCCTTTTTCGGCCTCCCCTGGTTGTTGGGTTGGTTGGGACCTCTGGCGGTGCTCGTGTGCAGGCCTGGAGTATGTGTGGAGGGGTTGTGGTTTTGGATTGGCCGGGGTGGGTTTGCGATTCCCGGAGGAAGCTTCAGATCTAGGGCCCGTTTGGGCTCTAGTGTAGGGGCCTCTTCCCGGTTGGTTGCGTGTGGATGTTTTCCGGGTTGTGCGAAAGGTGGGGGTGTAGCCCGGCAGGGAGGGCGTCGTTATTTTTAGGCTTTGTTGTGTTTCTTTTTCCTTTTTGTGGGTTGTTTTTAGTGTGTTTTTGTGTGTTGTCGGTTTGTGTTGTGTTTTTTGTGTTGTAGGTTGGGCTTGTATCTCCCGTTTGGGAGTTTCTTTCTCTACTTGTGGGAGTGTAGTGTGGTTTTTTTTATTTTCTTGTGGGTGCGTCTCTGTGGTATGTAGGCTCCTTTTGGGATGTCCTCTCATTTGGTTCGGTCTATTGGCTGTTGGTTTCGGCTGCTATTAGCCGGACTCGTTCGTTGTAAATACGTGTTTTTATCTATAATATTCTATCGTTTGGAAAAAAAAAAGCTCGAGCTTTTTAAAAAAGCTCGTCCTACCAAACAAGGCTTATTTAACATGGAGCTTATATGCTAACCAAATAAGCTATAAGCTAGCTTATTTGTCCACCAAACATAGTCTTAGTTTACTTGAGTGTATTTGGTAAAAACCATAAATTAACTTATATCTTATTTGGTTAGCATATAAATTTATGTAATCAGATAAACTTTATTTGATGGGACGAGTTTTTTTAAAAAAACTCGAACTTATCTTATAAGCTTCCTTGGGTAGCTTTTCAAATAAGTTCGTAGATATTTTAATTCCAATTAACTTATCAGTTTGTTTTACCAAACACTCTTATTATATGAGCTAGTTTTTCAGCCATAAGTCATAATCTATCAACAATAAGATTGAAATTCAGTTTAATAGTGAAATAGACTTCAACTGGGCTCCTTCAACTCGAACGGCCTCCGTACCTGCAGAACCCAACGCCGGGATAGGTCCCGGTGTCGGGCCTCCGATGGAGTTTATTGTGGATAACTCGAGCAGATTGATGGTTTCATTTGGTTTGGTATTGTTGTATTTTTTATTTTTATCCCAGTGGCCGATCGATGGAGTTTATTCTGGATAGCTCGAGCAGGTTCATGGTTTTATTTTATTTGGTTTGGTTCTGTTGTATTTGTGGTTTTGATCCCAATGGCAGGTCGACGGAGTTTATTCTGGATAGCTCGAGCAGGTTCATGGTTTTATTTGGTTTGGTTTGGGTTTGTTGTATTTGTGTTCTTGATCTCAGTGGCAGGTCGATCAAGCTCATTACGGATAGCTTGGACATGTTAATGGTTTTGCTTGGTTTAGTTTTGTTGTATTTGTTTTTTTTTTTTATCCCAGTAGCTGGTCAATGGAGCTTATTATGGATAGCTCGAGCAGGTCGATGATACTTATTTGATTTTGGGTTTGTCGAATTTATTTTTTGACTTCACTGGCAGGTAGAGGAGGCTCATTTCAAGAAAACTCAGGGAGTTTATTTGTAGACCTCAATGACAGATCGATGATCTTTATCTGATTTTGGGTTTGTCAAATTTATTCTTCGACTTCAGTGGCAGGTAGAGGTGGCTCATTTCGAGAAAACTCAGAGAGTTTATTTGCAGACCTCGATGACAGCTCGATGATCTTTTATCTGATTTCGGGTTTGTCCAATTTATTTTTCGACTTCAGTGGCATATAGAGGAGGCTCATTTCGAGCAAACTCAGGGAGTTTATTTGTAGACCTCGGTGACATGTCGATGATCTATATCTGATTTTGGGTTTGTCGAATTTATTTTTTGACCTCAGTAGAAAGTCGAGGGAGTTCACTTGGGGCAGCACAGAGTCAAGTTATTCAAGTCGATCATCTTTATTTGATTTTGATTTTGTCGACTTTGGTCTTTAGAAATGATGGTGCGTCAGGACATCTGGTTTCCGAGAGGATAGATAACATGGTTGAATTTTAAATATTGAACTGAGGGGCGATAGGACGAGGTGGGCTAAGAGAGCTAGAACATGGTGATCGAAACACAACAGACTTAAGTTCAAATTTTCAAATTCAAGACTTCGGGGAGTGGTCATTCAATTATCGATTTTCAGATTCATCGTCATCGGCGGTTACTTGGTTTTCGACCTCAGTGGTCTCTCAATTCTCGACTTTCGACTTCATCAGCGATTACTTGGTTTTCGACCTTAGTGGTCTCTCGATTTTTGGTTTTCGTTCTCATCAGCGGTTACTTGCTTTTCGACCTCATTGGTCTATCAGTTTTCGGTTTTTGTTCTCATCAGCGATTACTTGGTTTTTAATCTCAGTGGTCTCTTGGTTTTTGGTTTTTGTTCTCATCAGTGGTTACTTGCTTTTCGACCCCAGTGGTCTCTCGATTTTCAGTTTCGTCCTCATCAGTGGTTACTTGGTTTTCGACCTCAGTGGTCTCTCGGTTTTTAGTTTTCGTCCTCATCAGCGATTACTTAGTTTTCGATTTTCGTTCTCATCAGCAATTACTTGGTTTTCGACCTTAGTGGTCTCTCAGTTTTCGGTTTGTCGTCCTCATCAGCGATTACTTGGTTTTCGACCTCTGTGGTCTCTAGGTTTTCAGTCTTCGTCCTCGTCAGCGGTTACTTGGTTTTCGACCTCAGTGGTCTCTCTATTCCCAGTTTTCGACCTCATTGGTTTCTCGATTCATCCTCATCGGCGGTTACTTGCTTTTCGACCTCAGTGGTCTCCCGTTTTCGGTTTTCGACCTCATTGCGGTCTCCCGGTGCTCATTGGGAAGCTTGATGACTATTTGGTGATCGATGACTTACTTAAATTATAAATTCAGTGCCAGATTGACGGAAACGAGCCGAAGAGACATTTCACTCTTGGATCGAGTAATGCTTACTCGACCAGAGTGAGGGGGACTGGATGATATAGGATATTATACTAGACCGACTTTATTGGATTAGAAGAAATATATTGGAGAATATGTCCACAAATGGGCTAAGACATAAAGCATAATGACATGGGTCAAGCCCAACTTGGGCTCAAAAGGTACACTTCCCCTATAAAAGGGCGCTAAGGTATCTCATTCATTCATTCTCTATTTATCCATTACTACACTCTCTCTCTGGATCGAGTACTTATTAGGCATCGGTGGCCCGACGCCGGGACCTCTCCCGGTGTTGGGTTCTGCAGGTACGGATGTCGTTCGAGTTGAAGGAGCCCGGGTGAAGTCTATTTCACTATTACTCTTAGACCAAGTTTACCAAGCTTATGAATGTGTTTGGTAAGTAGGATAAACTAGTTTATAACTTATTTGGTCAGCTTATAATTTTTTCTATTCAAATACGTTTAGTTTGGTAAAACGAACTTTTTTTAAAGGATCGAGCTTATTTCATAAGCTCTATCTTGAGTAGCTTTTCAAATAAGTCCATTGGAATTTTCATTCCATCTTGTTCATCGATTAATTAAACCAACACTTTATCATATCACATACTTTTTCAACTATAAAACATAAGTTATAAGTTTGTAATTCAAAATTCACTGTACTGATAAGGTGGATATGGTGTTCATTAAGATGGATATGATGTTCAAATATCGACAAATTCGATCCTACCCCATGGGGTTTTAGCCACACAATCACACACAATTACACACACCCATGTGGATGTGTGTGAAACATGTGACTAAAAATCCCATGGGGCACATGGATAGGATCGAATTTTCCTCAAATACCATACAAATTGACATGTAATTGATTGATAGATACATCTTGATGAATTCTATACCAAACTCTCCACTACCTACTTTTAAAAGAAGATAAATGGTATGAAGTATCTCCGAAGTGCTGCACAAAATCCAGTATCTGATCACCCGCCGGCCAATATAGGCAAAGCAACTTTACAATAAAACCATAGTAAATAAAAATACTCTCCAAAAAAGTAAGTTGTCATTATTAAATAATTATGAAAATTAGAAATAGAGGACATCCAGTACGAAATTGCAAAAATACCCCCCTACATCATCATATTCGCAGTCAGCGACTTTTCAAATGTTAGTTGAAAAAAAAAAAACTAAAATAAATATTCTCTCCCATTTTTTCTCTCTCCTCTCTCAAAACTGCTTAAAAGACATCCAAACCCAAAATGCCATTCCCACTCCTAACCTTACTTTATTAACTTACCCTTCCTTAAAGCTCTTTGACCAAATTTTCTATTTTTTTCTCTCAACTTCACACATGACTGCCCGTTCACGCCACCTGGCCGGCGTAGCCTCGCCTTCGCCGACGGCCTCACCGCCGCCGCCTGGGTTGAAGAAGGCGCCGGCCGCCGTTGAGACCCTCAACTCCGACTTCGTGGTGATCCTGGCGGCCTTCCTCTGCGCCCTCATCTGCGTCCTCGGCCTCGTCGTCGTCTCCCGCTGCACCTGGATCCGCCGAATTTGCGGCGGCCGGTCGCCGGAGCCGGCGGTTCCGGTGGCCGCCAACAAGGGCCTGAAGAAGAAGGTCCTGAAGTCCCTTCCGACGATGACCCTGGGGGAACGCGAGCTCGCGGACCGGCCGGCGAAGCTCGCCGACTGCGCCATCTGTCTAGCGGAATTCGCCGCCGGCGAGGAGATCCGGGTGCTGCCCCAGTGCGGCCACGCGTTCCACGTGGCGTGCATCGACACGTGGCTGGGTTCCCACTCGTCGTGCCCCTCCTGCCGCGCGATTCTGGTGGTGGCGCGGTGCAAGAAGTGCGGGAACGTGCCGGCGTCCGATTCCCCCGCTGCCGGAGATCGGCCGGAGGAGAGTGAGAGCCGTGTGGATAGCTTTCTGCCTTGAATTTCGCTTTTATTTGTGTTGTGTGCGTGATTTAGGAATTAGGTCAGGACTTGTAAGAATTACGAACACACATTACATTACAATTACTACATCACGAGCTCCTCGGATTTCTATTTTAAGTGAATTTTTGTTTTGGATTTGTAATTACATTTTGCAACCCAAACTTGCAAGATTTAATTTGCTGAATTTTTGGTAGGTTTGTTTTTGGGGCAAGACCTTGTTTGAGTTAATTTGAGATTATAAAAGTATATAGTATATATTAGACTCCAATAGTGGATAAACAGGAGAGGCCTTTTATGGTATTTTATTCTTAATACATGTACATAATACTTGAGTTTTGGATTTATAATATGAAACAATTTTGTGATACATCAAAAGATGAAGTACTGCTGCTATGGTGACCTTGAGATGGGCACTAGCTAGGTTGAAATTTAATTCAAACTTAAAGATAATCGGCCTGATCAACTTCAGAAGTCGGAACATACAAGAAAATGTGACCGATTGTTATACTCTCAATCGCGAACAGAATTGCACGTGATTTTCCAACTTTATGCAAGATTCCAGGCGCATTCTTCATTTAAAATTGAGTTGCCACAGTAAAACCTGCTAGTGCTACAGTGATTTCTGCACTCCAATGGGGAAAAACAAGAAGAAGACGGTCTTTAGGAAGCTGACGGAGGGGGACTGCTCTCGTCAAATGCATGATGAGCTGCACAGGAAGCTTTCAATGAGCTGCAGTCAGCCGAAGCCGAACATGAGCTTCCCTCTCCAAATGGTAAGAGGAGCGCCTTGAATAATAATTTTGAAGGCTCGTGAATTAAGTGATGACGGGTTATAGACAAATTTAGCTGCTGGTGATGAGATTTTAGTTGTTTAAATGATAGGGAGGAAACTTGAAAAATGACATTGAAGGAGAAGCCCACAACACAGACTAACAAAGGTGACCGCAAGGTGCTCGATGAAATGCCCCAAAGTAACTTCGGTACGCACAATAGGCCTTTTACAGCCCTCTTTGCCCATAAACCCATGGCTTCTCTCAGCCTCAAATTGGACTACATTCTATCAGAAAGATGGAGGAACTTTCCTCGATGAAAATGATATCATGGATGTCAACCGAACTTGGGGCTTTTGCCTTGTTGAGTATTTTACTTATGTTTTTCTTTGTATTGGTTTGAATCTTGAGTGAGCAACAGACATGATTGTTCCTTAAGACTATTCACATGCAAGTGAGGAGTCGAGCATGTGGGTGCTCACTGCGCTTTTATTTGTCTATTATCGGTCTTTGAATTTCAATTTTGATCAATAAATTTAATTATCGATAAAGAAATGTTATTAAAGTCGACGAAAGTACAACATAATTTATTTAACACACAATTTAATTATATTTTTCCTACAAAACTTTTGGTTGACCATAAGTAAACCATATTATTTGCAATTTTATAGTAAATGGGCCATAAAACTAAGCCACCTTTGTTGAATTTATAATGAGAACTCAACCTTTGGATTAGTAACATATCAAATCATGCATAAAATATATAGTGGCCGGAGTGAGAATATTCCAAATTGAAGAAACTAATTGGACAAAATTAAGTCGGGACCCATAATTTGTTTGAGTTGTTACATTGTGATTCTTTGTTTATATAATACATCCTTGGACTTGTATCCATCTTTAACCATGTGCCCTCATCAATTATTACTCTGAGATGTCTCCTTCTCGAATAAAAAGGGACTACTTTATATCACCTATATTGCCTAACTCATATTAAAAAATTGGATTGAAAAATTATGTTTCCTTCCGAATTAATTGCTCGATATTGTTAGGTTACTAGCAAACATATTGGAATATATAAAAGCCAATTTGAAATGATATAGGAGCTAATTAAAAAAGTGATATTAATTTTTATTAAAAAAAAGGATGAAATAGAAAAGTATTTTATTTAATTGTTAAATATTATTTAAAAATATATATTATTATTAATATTTAAACTGACACTATTCACTTATACAATTTATCAGGATTATATTATAATTATATTATTTCTAACTCAGTATCATACTATTAATTTTTTATGAATAATTTTTGTAATGGATATTTGACTTCATTATTTCTCAATTAGTGTTAACAGATAATTCAATTTTTATAATAAAGATAAATTAATTTATTTAAGTTATTTTATATATGCACACATTTATCAACTCGAAGAACGTAATTTAATATATCATATATGAAAACTCATAACAAATACAAAATTTATTAACTTCTAAAATATAATAATAATTTAAACTAGTAAAATCTATTTACTATATAATTAGGCAACTCACTTTATATTTTTGGAAAGTAAGTTGTGGGCCCTACAATACTCTTTCTATGTTGGGAAAGTGTATAAATTGCATGTTTTTTTTTTTTTTTGCCAGAACGATAGAATTTGTATTAATAACGAAAGAGTACAGGATACAAAACTACAAACACGAGAACAACAAACTGAGAGATGCTACATAAAGCACCTAGAACCTCAACAAAGAAAACCAAACTAAAAATAAGGATACAATAAACATGCTTCTCTCCACTGTCAAAGGCCTAGCTAGAAACAAGCTCACCAAGAAAGGAGAAAAAAACAAAAAAGAAAGCAAAACAAATAAAAACTAAGCAGCCAACTAACTAAACCAATCCCACAGCACTGGTTGCCTCCAACCAATCCTTCTGAGCAGCAGAGATGACAATGTGCTCAGGCATAAGGGTTCTTTCAAAGACCCAAAGATTTCGAGACTTCCACAACCACCATAGCAGGTAGGTGGATAACTGGATCCTGTCTTGAATCACTTCATTCTGCTTAATTGAACTGATCTGCTGCCACCAAGCTTTAAAAGAATATAAGCAATGTTGCAGTCCATCCCAGTTTACAGGTGCTTTTTCCCAGATCCTTTTGGCTCTTGCACAGGAGAATAAAATATGTTCTGAAGTTTCAGGATGATCACCACAAATAGAGCAGATAGCACAAATATCAATCCCTCTCCTCCTCAAGTTAGTTGCAGTAGGCAAAGTGTCTGAAATACATTTCCAGAGGAAATGTTTGAGTTTTCCTTGTAGCTTCATTTTCCAACATCTCTGAAACATTTGGTGAGGAGGAGCCAAGCTAGAGCTGGCTTCTGGAATATCAAGGAGAAGGATCTTCTGAGCTACCAAAAATTAATAAGTGCTAGAAACTGTGAAATTACCTTTTGGATCAGGCCCCCACAATAATCTATCAGGTCTTCCTGGATTTAGGGACTTAATCTTCAGAATTGCAGCACTATCATCCTGATCAAATACTTGTTGAACAAGCCAGCTGTTCCATTGAAGGCCATTATTCTGCAAGAGGTCCTTAACCCATACTAAGTGCCCTTGGGCAATATCAATCAGAGAAGGTGAGGGCTTTTTCAAATTAGGAACCCAATTCAGATCTTCAATCTTTGTGTTTGAGTCATTCCTTATTTCAATCTTGACACACTTAGCAAAAGTTGGCAGCACTGAGAGCCAACTGTTCCAGAGCCATGATCCTTTGCAAGTTTTATCAGCTTTAAACAAGAAGCCATCAGGGAAGTATCTATCCTTCAGAATTTTACTAATTAGTAGATCAGGATTTGAAAGGACTCTCCATAGCTGCTTGCATATTAAGGCTTCATTGAAGAGCCTTATGTCATGAAAGCCTAATCCTCCCTTCAGCTTAGGCAAAGTGATCTTCTCCCATTTTTTCTAGTGAATTCCAGATTCTGTATCTCCTGATTTCCACCAAAATGTGGCACACAACTTGGAGATTTCCTTACATATAGAGACTGGCAGTTTGAAACATGACATTGAGAAGAGAGGAAGTGCTTGAAGCACTGATTTTATCAACACCTCCTTTCCAGTTGTTGAGAGGAGCTTACTCTTCCATCCCTGCAGCTTGTTCCTAACTGAGGTCAGGATATAGTCAAAAACCTCTTTCTTTGATCTCCCTATTCCAAGTGGCAAACCAAGATATCTGGTTGATCTATGAGGGACAATGCCTTGAAGGACCCCAAATATTCTATCCCTCAAGTGTTGAGGGGTATTTCTACTGAAAAAGATACCTGATTTCTGAAGGTTTACTCTCTGGCCTGAGAACTGCCTGTATTTTTCCAGAATAGAGAGGATTTGAGAGGCTTGTTCAACTCCAGCTTTGCAGAATAAGAGAGAGTCATCTGCAAACAACAGATGAGTGATGGCTGGCCCATTTTTAGAGAGTTTGATGCCCTGAAATCCTCGTGAGTAGTTGTACTTTTGAATTTTTAATTTTTAAAATTATTCTCTTTATTCGACTTTTACTTAAATGGTAGTTACGTGTTTTAAAATAGACTACTTTTACTTAATGTTTTAATGCTTTAAAATAGACTACTTTTACTTAATGTTTTAAATGGTAGTTGCGTGTTTTAATGTTTTAAAATATACTACTTTTACTTAAATGGTACTTCCTATTTTATTTTTTTAGAATAGGCTGAAAGCATCTTCCTCAATCTTGGTGATCCCTCAATATAAATAGACAATTACTTATGAAAAATAATTATATAGATTGTACCAAAAAAAAATAATTATATAGAGAGACATTAAAATTACAATTACTAAAGAAACAATAAAACTCTTCACTTCGGCGTTCATTCATGTAACCGAATTTTTGTTCCTGCATAAAATAAAAATTAACAATACTAATTATCTGACTTATAAATAATAGTAATAGTTATATAGTAAATAGATAAAAATGATAATTAACAACATGAATTGAATCACATACTTCAACAATTAAATAATAAATAATATAATGATAATATAATGATAATGATAATGATGATAATAATAACGATAATAATAATAATATAGCAATAGTAATACTAATAATATATATCGTGTTCAGATATTAGTAAGATTCACTTACGTTCCTACGTAACCGCGTTAGTTTAATTTTAAAATATATGAACAAATACTAATAAACAATAAACAATAAATG